CCAACCCCCCTCCCCTCCACTCCCCCAGCCACCACCATGGCTGCCCGCCTCAGCTCAGTATTTAAAAAAAAACAAAGCCCCTAATACAGTGCAGAAGAAATCCCATGGTCATGAAAATGGACATGGTTTCTTGTTGGGGAACTTTTAATTTGTCACCATATAAGGAAAAGTCTTAAATGTACATGCCAAGCTAGGTGAAAGCTGCAGATGCAGGGAGCAGTAATTCTCCATAGCAAGAACCTGAATGGGGTACTGGAAGTTTTTGAGCTTCTTAACTGTCTGAGACAGTGTTAGTGTTTGTATCAAGGCTAATCAGGGGCAGCAGGAACTGAGAAATATAAAAGGCCATCAGCTCTGCCAGCCTTGCTGTTCTAGAAGATCCATTGTAAAGAGCCTTGAGTAAGCAATGGCTTCAGTAAAGGTCAAAACAGGAGGGACAGCCATTAAAATAAAACAACAAAAAGTGTTCAAAGCACACAAACCCCACAGGAAGGCAAAACCTTCAAGGTGTGGAAGCCAAATTAAACAGAATGAGAATAAGGCAAAAAAAAAAAAAAGTCAAGTAGTTTCTTTTGGTCAGTAAACAAACCTGGAGAGAATAGCTTTCCAGTGAGTTGATGATGTTCTGGCAGTTCATTAATCCCAGTGAAATCTCTCCAAAGTCACTGATGTGTGGATTCCATTTTCAAATATCTCATTAGCTGCTCTATGGATTAAATGCTGATGTTCACTAGTGAAAACTCACAGCTACGGCTGATGGATGTGATTGGGCTGTAATGGATTTTAGCCTCTATTCTAATCTGGCAAAGAAGATGGTCTCAAGTAGCTTTCTGTCTCTCATTATGAAATGTTAAGAAACAAGGTCCTACCACAAGATCAAAGATGTTCTTGTTAAGCCAGCGGGGGCCTCATCTTTAGCGGTTCCTGGCACCCACAATTTCACTGTGTCCATAGGTCCTGTGGGAGCTCAGTGCACCTGAAAAATCAGGCCACTGTGTTGTCATTGTTTTCAGTTGATTTTAGATCAGCCCCCTGCCCACCAATGTCCTGTGAGGTCCTTTAGAAAAAGTTGTGACATCACATAATATAAAATTAATTAATGGAAAACGAGATGAAGAACACACAGATTAGCTTCCCAGCAGTATTTAGCCACTGTTAACATGTGTTTAATATGTTAAATGGACAAAGATAAGCCTCAGGGGGATGGTCAGATCTAGACAGTTTGGGTCTGCATGTGCAAGCTAGACACTCTTGCTTGCTTGCTTTGGCAGGTATTTGTGTTACACCCGCTGTGTAACCTTGAGAAGATTCCCCTCCTCGCCTTGCCCATCCTGTTATTTTTTATTGCAGGCCGTTTGATGCAGGACTGTCTTCCTTTTTTTTAAGAGCGTAGCAGAGTAGAACTGCCTGGCTGTGGGATACAAATTTGGGCTCTGGGGTATAGATTTCATAGAACAGGAACGGCAGTGAAGTTCTCTGCCATGGATAAAATAACATTTTACCTTCTTCTCTTACTAAAAGTTATTGCAAGCTATTACCATTTGCAGTAGCCTTCATGAAGAACAGAGAGAGAGGCTTGTGACACCTTTCCACTCTGCTGATGTCAAGGAATAGGAGGCAGACTCCACATACCCAGGAATAAAAGCCCCTCCTCTGCTCTCCCCTTCTCCCCTCACTCCTATCAACACACACACACACGCGCACACACGCGCGTGCACACACACGCACACACTTTGTAAACTTGCAGCATCTTGCTGTGAAAATGACCTTGCACTACTTAAAATTTCTTGGTCAGCAGCCAGTCACGGAGTCCCTTGTGTTAGCTGCACATAAAAATTAGGAGGTTTTGTTTCTGGAATAACAACAGGATCTCTCCAGCAAACCTTAAAAAATTCTGCATTGTGTTGGCAGAATGAAAATAATGCAAAGTTTCCAAACTGTTGTTCTATTTATTGTATGCTAGTTGGACCCAGGAGAGCATCTACTATCTCCTTCAGATGATTATGCAAATATGACTAAATATCTGAATACCTATTCCTACTTTTTATCCTCTGTAATCTAATGTCTCCCTTGATGCAATACTGTTTCAAATTATCTTCAGTGAGTAATGACTTGCATTTAGCATTTTATACCAAACTGTCATATAGATCATTTTCTGTAATACTTTACATAAATTAGGAATCTTCCCCCATGGCATGTATGCCACTACCAGTGGGTTTCTCCAAGATTAAAAGTGCAAACAACACAATCCTGGTGTAATTTGGAAACAAACAAACAAATAAAACAACAAACCTTGTAGCCATGTATTACATGTTGGTTACAGTAAATTACAGTGCTATTAGTTGAGGTCATTCAGGGAGGTGTTTGGCTTTCCCTGAGCATAATTACTTTGCTCAGTGTAAAATGCTAGCTCATAGTCATTACCTTTTTAATGGCTGTTCAGTGGCCTATGTAGAATAGTTGATGGGCCTCTGTCTGGAAACAAGCAGACGGGTGTCTTCATCGCAAAACTACAGACGTTAGCATTACCTTTCTGTTGGCAGACCCAGCAGATAGGTAAAAGACTCAATGAATAGGTCATATTGAAAAAGCTCCCACTTTATTCCCTCAAGTGTCCTCTACAGATCAAGGAGTTATACTGGTGGAGTACAATTTAGGGTGAGCTTATTTTGCTGCTCTCCCTCTTTGCAGGTCTAAGTCCTAAACCTGCAAATAATCTCTCGTAGTAAGAGGAATAGTATGCAGTGTGGAAAAGGACATTTGGCTGAGGTGATCTAGTTGGGGGTGGTCCTGCTTGGAGTAGGGGGTTGGACTAGATGTGACCTCCTGAGGTCCTATCAACCCTCATTTTCTATAATCAGAATTTTTGTCCCTGTGTGAATAAAGGGAATTTTGCTGTTGAGAGCTGTCTGTCACCTTCCAGTACTGCTCTTGGAGTGAATTTTATGGTTCCCTTTCACAGAAGAGGAGCAAGAGTAAAATTATAATTAAATAGGAAAAACGATAAAAGGAAACATATATTCAGTTTCCAGTCTGAGTGCCTGTAATGTGTTTGAAATAGAAGATGTTTTCTTTTTAAGATGCACGTTAGGTTGAGTGTTTTTGAGTACATCATTTACACGTGCTGTAGCAGTGTGGGAGGAGGAAATATGAATAATGAACGTCTTGAAAGGAGACCTATTGCATATGTTTATAACTCTATTAATGAAGCTTTAACACAGAATCAGTCACCAAACCTGACACCATACTGTAGCATGATTCAGGTGAAGGAAACACAGTCTTTTTCAGCATAACCTATTGAATACAAGCACTGCTTTCCAGGGGTGGATGCAGGATTTGGCAAAGGTGGGTGTGGGAGCAGCCACCTGCACTACAGGGGTAGCTGCACCCCTGCTCCCAACCTCTCCCTGCCCCACAGTAGTACAGGCAGACTGCACTGCAGGTCCCCAAATTCCCACTTACCTTCTGTACTCAAAGGTCTGACCCTCCCTTCCTAATTTCCTGCTTCTCCACCTACTGCTGTTGCTTTCCCCACTCTCCTGGGGGTGGGGGAAGCTTCAAAGCTGCTCTTGCCTGCTCCAGGTAGGATGGGCAGCAGCTGGGCAGGAGCAGCAATGGGTGGTGGGTTCCCCCAGCCTGCCCAGGTCCCCAGGAAAGGGAGGTATTGGGAGAGGAGGAGGCATGCCTTTGAGTACCGAGGGTAAGGGGGTCTTCTTACTTGATTTAGGGACTCTAAGAAAGTCCCCAGGGGCTCCCTTCATGTGGTCCAGCTCAAAATAGGGACAGTGGGAGCGGGGGTGCAGCTGTTTCACTGCATCCCCTCTGGATGTGCCCCTGCTACTTTCCTTTCTTTTTTCCCTTTAACCAGATTTCTTACAGTTCTGCAAAACCCTTCCCTACTTGTATTAAAAAAAAAAAAAGAAAAGTTGTGTGGTTTGTTGTATTATTTTTATTTTTTTTCTTGTCTGTTTTTACGTCCAGCCCCCAGCTACAGAACATGAAACCGATTCTTTAACATACCTAGAGGCAGGACATATTGCAATAGCAGAAAATTTTCTTGCAAGGAAGTATTATTCAGGTAAGAAATACATTCCCAAGAGAACAAGTAAAACCTCTTTAATCTAGAACTGCTCTGGAAAAAAACTGCTTAAGTAAACTTCAGGATTGAGTCACCCCACAGCAGACCTAATGACGGCCTTTGATTAAGTGGTACTTAGAGAAGCTTTGTTGTTGAACTACAATGTATTTCACCTTGTGTGTGTGATGGACAAGATAACTTCATAGGTTTCTTCTGTGTTGTTTCCTCACTTTACAATTCCTTCCTTCATTTTCTGTATTTCAGTAGGTTTCATTTCATTTCACAGCTGATCAAAGCACGTGCATTTGGTTAATTGTGTACTTCACGGTGATGTTGATGATCATGTATTTATTTTCAATCCCGATTGCATTTTGAAGTAAGTACCCTCCCTAACAGTTAGTTACAGGTGTCACATAAATTCATCATCCTTGAATAAATAAATTATTCATCTGATGATGCATTTAGTAGATAGATATGAAAAATAGAGCCTTAAGAATTAGTACATAATTTCCTGCTTAAGTAGGAGGTAGTGTTTGCAGAATCAGCAAGGGAAAAGTTGGAAGGCTTTTCTTTTGAGGTTGGCAATAACTGACAGGGTAGCGTCTGTACCTCTGGTCAAAAAATGTTGGACACTGTTACTGAAAAATGTTGATTGGCTCCATAAGCAAGAATATTTGGTATGTATATCCTGACCTGATTTTGAAATTTGCTTTGCACCTCTGTTTTCTGAGGAACAAGTCATTACAAATTCATTTTCGATTAAACCTTTTATCTTCTGGCTTGAAGTAAAAAGTATTCAATACAAGTATTCATACAAGTCACTGCCTTTAATAAGTAAAATATATTTATTGATAGATTGGCATCTCAGAAAATGGCCATATGCTAAAATAATCTGTATGTTCATATCTTTAAAGATTTGTATTTGTAAAATATTTCAGGGTGTACAACATTCAAGCCAATATAACTATGTCATTGTGTTCTGGTTTACGGTATGCTCTGCTGGTTTTAGGGTAAGCAGAAAATATTTTTATTGCTAGCCTCTGTTAGCGTTAGGCTTGTCACTTTTCTTTGTTGGTGACAAAAAAGTAAAGAATGTGAAAGTGCAAGACACAATTGGGACTAGCAGCTGGCATGTCAGGTGAATTTAACTTTTGTTTGCTTTAGTACACATGAACTCATGGACAGTATTTTCAGACTAATATGCTCCACAATGTGGCTTTTATCTGAAATTAAAACAAGGCCCACCAACCAAGACTGCCCCAATAACTGAACTCAGGTAATTAAAAACATACGCCAAAAAATAAATAACTATGCTTGTGTCCTCTGCATTCTACTGTGCAGGCAAAGTTAATAAAATCTGGAGTTCCCTAGATACATTAGGAAACAAGGACAAAAGCTTATTTTTGCACCATAACTCTAAAGAGGCCTCTGGGCATGGGCCAAGTTTCAGATGCCTGCCAAGTGCTTGAAGTTCATTAAAAGAAATTCAGGGCATTTAAGAGCAAGTACACCGTTAGTTTGCAAATTTGCTTTTTGCCATTCGTACTTGCTCACCAGAGTAGGTAGGCATGCACCTACTTTGCCTATCCTGAAAACCAGTCCAAACGGTAGGTTCAATCCAGTTCCAAGATATAACCTCAAATACATCATTCATAATTTATCGAGTCTCCAAGGTCTGAAGATGCATAAAGTCATATTTTAAATTGCTATTTAATCTCCTAATTCTTCTAATACCTATTGTTATGGCAAAAGTGTAACTAAATGTCAGTGCTACCCTAGAAGAAGAAAATATATAGTAGACTGATAATATTCTGAAATGGAGAAAATAAGCAAAATTTTAGAATATGATGCATTCAGAAAAATCTTTTATTACCTATAAAACATAAAAAGTCCTAGTTCTCTGTGTCTTCTACTATATTATTCCCATGAATATGGGACTGCTGATAAATATTAGGAGTGGAGCAGATTTTTTGTCTGAAAACACTTTTAATGACAGATCAATGCTTTTCATTCCTTAGAAATTATAAAGACTTTGGTGATTTTATATGAGCCTGGATAAACTGCTGAGTGATGGCAAGCCTTCAAGGTACAAAGTAGAAAGGGTTTTTTATATATGAGAAAATGGTAATTTTCTTCAGATATAAACAAAGCAAAATTTAAATAAGTTCACAGTAAGTGTTACACATCCAAGGGTTGCAGTTGATACTATGGAGAGCTGATTTGTTTCTTTCCTGCTTTCTTTCAGAAGTAATATCAGTATAATTAAGCCAATGCTAAACAGAAAATAATTTTATATATACAACAGATAGGGTCCCAGAATGAAATTTGCCAGTCTTAATTCTTGAATTTAGCTTTTTTTTTTTTTAGGGTCATAGTATATGTTCATTTACAAAATATCACATGTGTACCTTTTAATGAATACTTCAGAAATGCAAGGAAGAGTATGTCAAGCAGATACCATATCCTTGCCCTGGAGAGCTTGGCAATACATTGGTCTGACTATAGTCTACACACACAAAAAAATGCTAATGCTGTGCTATAGCCCACTGAGAGGATACAACCTTTGTGGACATTGAAATCTGAATGGCAGGCAAAGTGATAGAAACAATGACCTAGGTATCAGGGCTGTGGGAAGCTTCGGTCCCTGATTTGATTTGGTGGAGATTTGGCCCGATTCGTTGGCCGAATCTCTGAATCCGAATTGAATCAGGAGACCCTTTAATCTCTCCAAATTGAATCGGAACCCTCCAAATCGATTTGGAGAGATTTGGAAAGATTCAGCGATTTGGACACAGACACAGCTTTAAATGTTTTTTTCTATATACCTCGCGGTAGCAGGTGGCTCGGGAATGCTGCGATGCTGGGGCGCGCGGAGCATCCCACAGAAGCGCAAGGGGCTCCCCAATGTGCTTGGCAACAGGCCCAGAAGTGGACCAGAAACACTTCCAGTCCACTTTCAGGTCCACCGGGGAGCTCCGCATCCCCCCCAGCTTGGCAGCTGTTGCCTCCTTGGTCTGGGGGGGGCACCCAGGGTCCCCCTGTGACTGATCACAAAGCCAAGGGGGCATGGGGGCCCCCCTGGCATGCTCCCCACTTCTGGGTTCACCACCAAGCATGCAGGGGGGCCCCCGTGCTCCTGTGGGATGCTCCATCTGTCCCACCATCACAGCCTTCACGAGCCACATCTGATACCTCGAGGCATGTCGAAAAAACATTTAAAGCTGTGTCTATAGCTGAATCACTAATTCTCTGAATCAGTATCGAATCTTCAGATTTGGATTTGGCCGAAATTGAATTGAGGACAGTGATCCGAATTGGCGAATTGAATCACTGTCCCCAATTCGGGCCAAATCCAAGTCGAATACAGCCCATTTCGCACACCCCTACTTAGGTATACAGTAAGTAGTAAGCAGAATATCATCACAAAAAATAGGATGTGATATTTTGTAAATGAACATATACTATGACCCTAAAAAAAAAAAAAAAAGCTAAATTCAAGAATTTAAGCATCTTCTTAGGTAGGCTTTTAGTGGATTCCTAAAAGCAAACAGCCATGCTTGGCAAATACTAGATGGGAAAGCTATAAACCATATAAGACTGGTATGAGGTGGCACAAACTTTGAAGTTGGAGGGAACTAGTTAATGCATTGATAGCGAGGAAATTGGGTTTTGAAAGAGATAAGGGGAGACGTTGCCTAGAACTAACTTTTGTATGTGTAAATTTGGAACAAGTGAATTTATTTTTAGAAGGAAAAGCCGTATCAAACGCTGAAAAACTCTAATATTTTAGAACAACCAATCATAAGCCATTTGGAAACCATTTAAAGTTCTACATGCAAGCTCAAATGGTTGAACTCAAATAGTTGAATAAAAACTTTAATAGAAAATATCTGTATTGTTGAGTTGTGAAAAGGGAAGCTCTATTTAAGTACATTGATTAAGACCAATACAACATTGTGTTGTATAAGATATAAGGGACAGTGTTTAAAAATTGCATTAGGTTTGAATGAGTGGTCATAATCTTACTTAATAGCTAAGAACCATTCCGGGAGGAATCTTCTCAACAGTGAGACTTGCTTTTAGATTTGCTTTCTTGAAAAAGAAACGTGGCTGGTCTGTGGTTTGTTCTGTGGAATCCAGTAGGGCCTGAACTCATTCCATAAGCTTTAAACTTTCATATGTATTATATAAAAATATGCTTTTGTTTGGTTGGTCTTTTCTGTTGTTGTTTGGGTCAGTTAGTAGCCATGTAAAGAGCTATCTTACTTTCCACTTGAAATCTCTGATGTTTGCATATTACCAGCTGGTAGGACAAAAGATGCTGAATAGCAAAAAAAAAGGATGCTTCTGGTGAGATGTTGCAATGAAAACCTTTTAAACTATTCCACTGTTGGATTGCAAGGCCAGTATTTCCTAGGTGGCATATTGTTATACTTTTTAAAAGAAGAAAACAAATGTAGAGTCCTGTTTTACTTAAGTGAGGAGAGGGAGGATTGTGCCACAGATAACGTTTTGTTGTTGTTTAAATCAGGTTTTCTAGAGTGGCTTAGGTCACTCTTTTTAGGTTTGGCTATTATTTTTAAGTAGAACTGATGTGGAGAAGAGCTTCTGCCTGCACAATTGATTTTAGTTTCTCCAGCAAATCTATTTGAAAATAGTTAGTGTACAGAAAAGCAATAGCAGATGGAATGACTCCAACAGTACACAATGCTGCACTTTCTTAGCTTGAAGAAAGGGTTCAAAATGGAGCATTAAAAGTATGTATGTTGAAGTCTCCCCTTGCTAAAAATTCTTTTTGCTTTATCATGCTATTATCTTTTTCTGTATTTATATCTTGCTGTATCTGCCCATGTCAAGGATGCTGTAAGATTTGAACAGTGGGGGGAAAAAAAACAGCTGTTCTTTCAAAGAAAAACTTCAGGGACATACAGAAATATTTTATATTTCAACTTGTCCATAGCACAAACTATGAAAAGAAACCAAGATTTTTCTCAGCAAGG